AACACCGTTCTGGGATTCGCCCACACCTCGGGCGAAAACATGAAAATAGCATAGGTAGATAGAACCCAACGAGTTCCATTCAATGCTTACCTTTTAAGGTATTCTAAGTACTTCCATCCTCCCCAAACCCCAATATACTCGGAAATCCTGGTTTTTCCCGCAAAGCCGTTCGGGGATTCGCCCACACCTCGCGTCAAAACGTGAAAATGACATAGGTAGATAGAGCTCGATGAGCTCTATCTAATTCTCACCTTTTAAGGTATTATAAGTACTTCCATCCTCCCTAAAACCCCAATATACTCAGAAATCCTGGTTTTTCCCGCAAAACCGTACCGGGATTCGCCCATAGATGGGACCAAAACATGAAAATGACATTGGTAGATAGAACTCAACGAGCTCTATGCAATGGTAACCTTTTAAGGCATTTTAGGTACCTCGATCCCCAAAAAACCCAATATAGTCGGAAATACTGGTTTTCCTCGGACAACTGCTCAGGATTCGCCACCAGTTAGGACCAGGGTGTGGGTGTGGGTGTTAGGATGTGCGTGTGGATGTCTTGGTGTGGGGGTGGGGCGTGGGTGTGTATTTGTGTGCTTAGACTTTCCAGTTACACCTACACCCACACTCTACCTGCATTCACACACACCCACACCAGAGATGGGATCGGTTGGCATTTTTGCCAAACTGAACCGACCGTAACCGGAAAAATCTCTAACCGAACCGACCGTAACCGACCGAATTTCAAAAATTTCACAATCGAATCTAGCTTAGAGAAAGCGAAGTTTAGCTTATGTTAATTAGGGTATTAGTGCTTTATAAATTTGCAAAAACAAATCAAACAATATCAACTACCAATAATGAACATTTAGAGAAAGCAAAGAATAAGGATTATTTCTTGGATCTTCTTACTGTATTGTAATTTCCTTACCTTTCAGGACAAATTTAAAAACTATGTGAGATAATCCGCGTTACGAGCAACAGCTAATTGTTGTACGATTATATTCTATTTTCTTATTATGTTTCACTGAAAAAGTCCATTGAACTCAAATCAAACGGTTCTGTCTATTCTTTCTAACCGAACCGAACATAACCGACCGAATTTTTCAAAATTGCTAACCGAACCGACCGTAACCGAAACAATCTCTAACCGAACCGAACCTAACCGACCTACGTCTTTCAAAATCTTCAACCCAATCGATTTCGGTTACGGTTTGTCGGTTCGGTTCGGTTAAAAACGAACCGATCCCATCTATGACTCACACACACACGCTAACAGCACTTACACACCCACACCCTTTTAGTACCAGCTCCGGTCATATCGCGGCGGTTTTCCAAGAAAACCCAGAATTTTTGCCTATATTGGAGTTTTCGGTTGGGTGGAGGTACTAAGAATTACCTTACAAGGGTACCATTCGATAGAACCCGTTGAGTTCTATCTACCTATGTCATTTTCATGTTTGCGCGCGAGGTCTGGGCGAATCCCCGAACGGTTTCGCTGCAAAAACCAACACTTCTGAGTATATTGCGGTTTTGTAGGGAATGGAATCACTAAGAATACCTTAAAAGGTGAGCATTGGATAGAGCTTGTTACGTTCTATCTACCTATCTCATTTTCATGTTTTCCTCCCAGCTGTCGGCGAATCCCGGAACGGTTTTGCCGGAAAAAAGCAGGATTTCTGAGTATATTGGGGTTTTGGGGGGGATGGAAGTACTTATAAAACCTTAAAAGGAGAGCAATGGATAGAACTCATCGAGTTCTATCTATCTATGTCATTTTCATATTTTGGTACTGGCTGTGGGCGAATCCAGGATCGTTTTTTGCGGGAAAAATCAGGATTTCTGAGTATATTGGGGTTTTGTAGGGAATGGAAGTACTAAGAATACCTTAAAAGGTGAGCATTTGATAGACCGCATCGA